TATAAAGTTCCAATTGTATAAATATTATTAAATATAAAAATAAAAATATAAAAAAATTTAACTAAAAAAATTTTTATAATATGAATTTAATTAATTTTTTTTGAATTAAATGACCAGTTAGTTTGGTTGGAGGTGACAATATGCCTTTGACAAAGGCTAAGTAGCATTTACTTTATTTTCTACTTTATGTATCCATTTTGTGATTTTCTTTAATTTATATTTAAATGCTTCACCAAGTTTTAAAAATATATATATATATATTTAATCATTTTGATTCAGTTTGGTTAATTTGATTTGATTCGATTCATCAAATATTTGATTTGTTTTGTTTTGTTTTGATTCATCAAATATTTGATTTGATTTGATTTGATTTGTCAAATATTTGATTTAATTTGATTTGATTCAATTTTGCAAAACCCTATCTATGTTTTTGTTGTAAAAAACCTGCTAGCAGATTTTACTTAAGTTTTCAAAAAAATTCACCATAGTTTTTAATCATATAATCTATCATAACATCATAAAATTCATCTTTATTATGATATATATTTTTATTAAATAAATTTTTCATGACATTAATATGATATTCTAAATAAATTAAATATTAATAGTAAATAATGGTAATATAATATAAATATAATATAAATATAAAAGGTTTATTACCTTTGTGAATTCCTTATTTAGATTCTTTTCTTCGTAATCCATCTCCATTTTTTCAAACCTCTCTTCAATCACCTTTTGTTTTATTAATAATTCTTCAATCTTTTCTTTTATTTCATATTTTGTTTTAAGATCCTTTTCAAAATTCTTGTAATCCTATCTCTGTCTGTTTTGATTCTTGATTAAAAATAATAATATTTCAATAAAATAAAAAAAATTAGAAAAATAATTACCAACTAGATTAATAGGACTATTTCTTCAAATGTTTATGTAATCAGTCTCAGATGTTCTTTTTCTCATTCTTTTTAGTTGTGAAGTAGTAGATTCAGCTTCATCATTACATCTTTTACTTCTTGAGACCAAATTACTGAAGCCCATTCTAGTTTTTGCAACAGATTTTATGGGTTTTGACATTTTAAATTTAGAATTAAAAGAATTATGTGTTTCAATATAGTTAATTGAATTTATATGTTGATGCAATTTTTTGTTATATATATAATTAATAGAGATAAAGAAATACTTTGCACATTTATACATATTTACAAAATACAAAATTTTATTATTATATGAATAATTTATAATAATTAAAATGTAAGAATCAAACGCGTTATTTTAAGAAGATAATTTGTATAATAAATAATTTTATTTTATTGAGTTATAACAATTACATAATAAAAATTTAAAAATACATTCCATTTCAAATGTAAATAATATGCATGTTTGATAAAATGTATTCTATTTATTCTTAATTTTGAAGAAAGTAAACAATTTCTTATTTTCATTTCTTTTTTTAATTGTTTTTCAATTTCTTGATCAATTGTTAAGTATAAAGATAAGCACCATAATTAAGAAGTTGCAACTTGGTTGCAACTCCTTGTAAATTTATTTTAATATAAAAATTCAT